GGGCCCAAGGGACAGTCAACCCTCTTTCCCATGTGGCCACCATATTCTTAGCTACCCATATTGGCTCTGATAGGATGAGGGGCATTCCTCATGCCCTTTGAACGCTGACAGGGAGGTCTGCCAGGCACCCACCACCAACTGCCAAGAGTTTACACGGCTCCCCATAGCCTCCCTTGTCCACACCAAGCAGCAGGCAATGTCCACGTGGAAAGCCGACATCTGCCTGACCTGAGGCTAGGGTTTGGATTTACAGTCTGGGGTCTTGAATCCTGGATCTCAGATCTGGTTTTAGAATTCTTCTCCTGCTGTGTGGTGGTGGAAATCCCAGCACTTTGGAGGCAGAGGCAGGAGGATCTCTGAATTCAAGACCAGCCTGGTCTACATAGTGAGTTCCAGGACAGCCCGGGTTACACAGAGAAACCTTGTCTGGAAAAATCAAAGGGGAAGAAAACAAAGGATTCTGGGTTTAAGATTTGGCATTCTAGGCCGGGCGGTGGTGGCACACGCCTTTAATCCCAGCACTCGGGAGGCAGAGGCAGGTGGATCTCTGTGAGTTCGAGGCCAGCCTGGACTACCAAGTGAGTTCCAGGAAAGGCGCAAAGCTACACAGAGAAACCCTGTCTTGAAAAACCAAAAAAAAAAAAAAAAAAAAAAAAAGAAAAAAAGATTTGGCATTCTAGGATACAGAGTCTGGATTCAGGATGTGGGAGTCTCCAGATCTGGGCCTGGGTCCTAGGTGTGCTGTGCTTTGGGGTCTGGGTTCAGGCTGTGAACCCTTGGTCTGGGGTCTGGGTTTAGGCTTCCAGGCTTCAGTTTTAGGGTCTGGGTTAGGATTCTCGAGTTTGGGCTTGGGGCCCAAAGGCTGCTGGTTCCCGTCACTTCTATGCCCCCTGCTGGCCAGTCATTATGGTCACCTTCTACCTGAACCACCACCTTCCCCTTACTTCTAGGCTGTGACAAGGATTTCAGTCAGTAGCTAGGGAGCAAGGAACTGTGAGCAGCAGGAATTGGGCACTGGAAGAGGAGGGGTACAGTAAGCAGATGGTGGTTTTGAGGACTGTTGACTCCATGTTGCTCTGGGAGTGGAGGCTCTGTAGTCATTAGACTGTATCAGTCATTCAGGAAGCCCCTCCATCTACCCACCTCCAGAGATGGGCTTAGGACTTAATTTTTTCTTTTAGATTTATTTTTATTTTTATTTATGTGTGTGTATGTATGAGTGTACGAGTGTATGCCATATGTATAACCTGTGAAGGACAAAATATGTCAGATTCTCTTCAGCTGCGGCTACAGGCAGGTGTGATGTGTTAGGAACTGAAACTTGGCCCTCTGCAAATGCTCTCGCCTGCTGAGCCCTCCTCCTGTCCTTATTTACTTATCTATCTATCTATCTATCTATCTATCTATCTATCTATCTATCTATTATTTGGTTTTTCAACAGAGGGTTTATCTGTGTAGCCCTGGCTGTCCTGGAACTTGCTCCATAGACCAAGCTAGCCCCAAACTCAGAGTTCCATCTGCCTCTGTCTCCTGAGTGCTGAGATTAAAGGTATGCACTACCATACCAGGCCTTTAAATTAAAAGAATTTTTCTTTATATATTGATTTAGATAAGGTCTCGTGTACACCAGGCTAGCCTCAAATTCACTTGTGTAGTCACAGATAGCCTACCACTGTCTCCTGAGTGTCGCAATTACAGGTATACCTGGTAACGCCTAGCTATTGGGGGGAGTTTAGCCTTTGACAGGTGGGTAAACTTAGAAACTTGAGACATTGGTTCATCCAGTATTTACTGAGGGTCTGCCTGCTGTGGACCAGGCTCTGGTGACATACGACCGTGGAAGAAAGTTCCTGTGGGGACAGCTGTCACTCATGGAAGTGGGGGTCACACCTGTGAGAGACAAACTGTTACTAAGGTGTACAGGGACAAGGGTGGGGAGACAGGGAAGGGGGAGCAGGGGAGTCTCGAAGGGGTTAACATCTGAGACCAGGGGTGAACATGGCCACCAGGGAGAGGAAACAGCCTGGTCTAAAGGAACTGAGAAGGGCCTAAAAGGAGGCCACTGTGTCCCGGGCTTTCCTGCCCAGACCTAGGGCCTGTGGGCAAAGGAAAGTAAGGTGGTTGCCCTCCTCGCCCCAGGACTGTGGAACCCAGCTTGCAGTTTGTCATCAGCTGGGCCATGGCTCAGATGTCAGAGCTTGTCGGGGGAGGGGATTCAGACTACCACCCTTTAGTTCTCCAGGCCCCTCAAGTCCTGCAGAATCCTGTCTGCTCAGCTGTCCTTCTTGGAGGGCATAAAGCAACAGCTTGGACCGGGGATCTGAGTGTTGGCATAGCCTGTCCTCCCTGCCCTCTTCCCTTACCTGCCCACCTACCCACCATGGTTTCACTACTGGCTTTAGCCAGCCAATCCCATTGGCTATAGAGAAGCTGGCCTTGGGGGGGGGGGTGTCGAAGAGTCCCTACTGAGGGCTGGATACCTGTCATAGTGTGGAAAGTTCTCCTGTGGACAAGCCTGGGTACTGCTACTCCAGGAACCGGCAGGGCAAGCTCAGAGTCAGAGTTCGAGCAGAGGCTAGCCTTAGCCCCATCTGAGCCCTAGGGAGGAAGGAGTTCTATGTACTTTCTCTCCATGAGCTGCCGCATGGGATCAAGACACCTCTCCCTCTCACCAGCCCAGCGAGAGGAAGATAGTACCACGAGGCTCTGACGACATGAGCCCCTTAGTACAGATCACAGACTGGAAACTGAGGCCTGGGTGGGCCTGCTATGCGCTTAACTCTGTTTGAGCTGCATTCTGAAGGATAACAGTGTTCGGGTAAATGAAATGGGGCAGGAAGTCTGGGTCACCCCGTGTGTACATCTTCAGCCCTGGGCCTCAGTTTTGCCCTGGTAAGTGAGAGGGATCTGGGTAGCATCCTGGCTGTGCTTGTGTGTGGATGACTCCACCAGCAGAGTCAGTGATGCCGGGGTGGCGGGGGGGGTAGCAGTGCTAAGGGTCAGCAGGTCTGGGCAGTCGGCTGTACAGAGGTTTCTCTCTGTGTTTCCCTCGGGTTGCCTTCTCCTTTGTGGCATTTCTGATGTCTCCGTGGACCCTCCCCCACGTCTCTCTTTCTCAATACTCTTGCCAAGCATCTGGAAGAAAAGTGAAAAACTTGTCGTCGTCCCCCCCCCCCCTCCAGCCCCGGATGCTGTCAGATTTCCAGATGTGGGGTGTTCTGCCCTCCAGATGAAGGGAGGAATGTGTTTCAGCCAGGCATGGCGACTCAGTCCTGGACTGCTATCCCTTCCTTGGGAGGCTGAGTGACAAGATGGGAGGATCCCAGATCCAGCAGGAAGATGGTAGGGTGCCCCAGGTTGAAGCCTCAATACCTTGTCTCAGCTTGAGTTATACCCTTCTTCATGCCTGAGAAGTCCCTTGGGGCTTAGGGTGGGAGGTGCTGCCTCTGAAGTTTCTATCAAAGGCTTCAGGCACTTAAAAATAACTAGGAACACCCCTTCTCCCCCCACATGCGCAGACACTAGGCGGGAACAGAACCCAATGTGTTTGCAAGATGTCCTCATTCTCTGAGTTTGTGCTGGAAGGGCCTCATGCCACCTCAGTCTCTCCATTTCTCCAAGTGGTGGCCCAGCCAGGCTGTGCTATGTCACAGTCATCTGCCAAGGGCAGGGGACCAAGGGAGTGGTTCCAGGGGCTGGACACTGTTGCTTGTGCCCTGGGGGGGGGGTGAACCTTTGGAGGAGGCATTGAGGGGTAAGAGTCTTCGACTGGCGCCCAGGAGCAAACCTTGCTCAGCACCTTGGGGTCCCTCAGAGATGCAGGATCCCCTGGAGCAGAAGGAAGCATGGGATAATGGGAGGAGTGGCAGGAGAAAGCTTCAGGAGGGGGCAAATGGAGGGGCAAGCAGGGAGAGACAGAGGGTACAAGGGGGAACTAGGGGTGAGCAAGAGGCCGGACCCTGGAGTATGTGGGGGAAGATGGACACTGGGCATCATAGCGAGGGCAGAGAGAAGCAAAGGGTGTGAAACTTGAGACACTCGTCTCAGGGGTTGGCAGGAGCTGTAAAAGGAGCCGTTGAACTAGCATGGAGGACAGTCCTCGAGGGAGCGCCACGGACCCTGTGACTGGGCTGCAGCTGTCTGCTGTAGCTAGACACTCATACACCAGTACATCTAAACACCCAGACATAAACACACAGCGGTCCCATCGCAGACACTCACTCAGACCCACACGGACATACGTGAATGCGAACACCTGGAAACAGGCCCACAAAGACAAGACACAGACCCTTCTCCCAGACCCAGCCTGCCACTCACAGACCTTGGCACGGAGGCACCCAGACAACATATACAAATGTCCAGAGACCTCCCACCACCCACACAGCCTGGGATCCCCTACCTGGAAAGGGGCCTGGACAGAGATCCACATCTACCCCGCCCTGCTCTTGAACACAGGACCTGGGATGCTCAGGTGCAGTTTAACTCAAGAGTGCCCTGCCCCTCAAGACATTGTAGCCCCATGGTGCAAAGCATGCAACTTACACTTTTCTAACCTTTACCTGTCCAAAACGTATTGGTCTGCAGAAGAGTAGCTCCGTGTGTGTGTGTGTGTGTGTGTGTGTGTGTGTGTGTGTGTGTGTGTGTCTGTCTGTCTGTCTGTCTGTCTGTCTGTGTCTGTGTGCCTGTGTGCTCAGAGCACAGGCTGAGCAATGGCTTCTGTCTCCCTCTCCCTCCCTCTCCCCAACAGGTGACTGGGGGAATGGAGCACCCTCCCCTCCCCCTCCCCATTCCTGGGCCTGAACAATGCCCTCTCCAGGACCCAAAATAGCCCCTTGAGCAGAGCCAATGCCCTTTTATGGCCCTGTCCCTATTGTGCATGGTAGGGGTGGGGCTGGGGTCATGAGGTATATGGGTAAGATAAAGCTCAGGGTGGCAGAAGACTCACCTACCCTGTTCTATCCATCCTTCCTCCTTCCCACCTCTCTGTGATTACAGCTCCGATGGCCCCCAAAAAGCCAGAGCCCAAGAAGGATGACGCCAAGGCCGCTGCCCCCAAAGCAGCTCCAGCCCCTGCAGCTGCACCCGCAGCTGCACCTGCGGCGGCACCTGAGCCCGAGCGCCCCAAGGAAGCAGAGTTTGATGCTTCCAAGATTAAGGTGAGTGAGGGAGCTGCGTTGTAGCAGGAGAGACAGAGCCGATAAGTGGATCTCAGAGTGGGACCTGCCACGGTGGATAAGGCCCTAGATGCTGGCAGTTTCTGTGCAGAGGTAAAACGGGACCTGCTTGTTTCAGACCTCTGCAGGACCGAAGGGGGAGGGATGGTGGCCAGACAACTGGTGAGACTCCCCTGAGGCTGCCGAGAAGCCCCTGAACTTTGAGAGTAGAGTCTGGACCGGGGCATGGTTTTTGGTGATTATGAAAACCAACTCCCCCGGTTCTTCTCTCTGGATTACATCTTTAGGAAATCCTGGAGCCAGCTGTCCCCCATCAAACAGGGCTCTTCCTTCTCTGGCTGCAGGGGTCTCAAGTCCATACCAAGCATCCTTAGGTGGAGTAGTGTGTAAGGGAAATCAGGGCCTTGCCCAGGCTGGGTGACACTCACTCCTGCCAAGATCACCAAGCCCACAGCTGGCAGAACCCTCCCGGGCTTCACATTTAACTGGGAAAATGGAGGAACAGGCTGGAAAGGGAGGCTCTGAAAGTCGTGCGGGAAGCTGGTTGTGGAGCACGGCTAAGCAGCCCCAGACCTTTCCTGGCCCAGCTGTCTTGCCCAGAGTCTAACTGGGAGAGCGAGCCATGCCCGCCACCTGTGGCATCCGCATAGCAGCACGCAGCCTGCGTCCTGTTCTCAGCTGGCCAGCGGCCACTGCTGCTCTGGCTGCCTCTTGAGGGGCCTGTAGAGTCCTTTCCACCCACACACACCCACCGAGCCCTGAGCCACTGCTACAGAACCTCCATCTGGTCACGTACCCTTCCCAGGGGCACCTGCCTGTGGTCATTGGGTTTGTATCCCAGCTCGGTTCCGCCTCAGCTGCTCTGATCCTTTGTTTCCTCAGCTGTGAAATGGGACCGTGAGCCCCCACTTGCAAGACTGCTGTACTCTAGAGTTGGCTCCCTGTTCCGCTGTCACCCTCAGGCCCCTTAATGTGTCCTGAGGATGCCTTGTAAGGCTCCAGCAGCTACCTTGAGACCCACGGTGGCATTATCCAGGCATGAGGTTGGCACAAATTTATGCCTCAAAAGAGGGGGATGAAAAGGCCCTCTTCTCTGTCTTTCTCTCTCTCCAGTTGGCAGAGAAGGACAGACAGAGCCTTTTTCAGAGGCCAGCAAACCCTGTCTCCCCAGGTTTTCCCACAGAGAGCTCCTAGAGCCGGGATGTGTTTTCTCTCAATACTAGGTTGAGCCTCAAATCGGAGGGTCACTCACTCACAGCAGGTGACAGGGATGGGGTATCCTTCTGCACAGTGCTGTGCACTGTGGAGGTTGTGGGGGACTCTCAGGAGCCAGTCATACCCCTCTTCCCCGAGCTCCATTCGCTGGTGTGACCTTGACTTTGGGGAGAGTGACTGCAGTGATAAAAATAGACTGGAAACCGATGAGGAGGGGGCTACTGGGTCCCGGGAGGCCTCCTGACCTCAGGGTGGCCCCATTATGTCACCAGAAAGCTACATAGTCCTATATGTGCTGGAGTGGGGGAGCCGCCTTGGGGCCACAGGCAGAATGTAAAGGGTAGATGCAGGCAGGGCTTTGAGGATGAGTGTCCAGCCTTGAGGGCCCCAAGGGGATCTGTGAGAGATAGACACACATATGTGCACAAGCATTCGCACTTGATTACCCACACACATGCTTCCCTGCTGACACAGCTTCTGGCCCGAAGCCGTATGCTTGCTCCTCCCCTCAAAGTCGGCTTGGTCAGGCCTGTGACACTGAGCACAGCCTCCGTGGCCTGACTGATATTACAATCTGATTACACATAGGTTGGACAGATGTGTGTGTAGTTGCAGCAGCTGCAGGAGGGTGTCTAGGTAGACGGCATGAGGTCCCGGGCGGTAGAGGCTGTGCTGTTGCTATGACGACAGGCTGGCACAGCCAAGGGCCTGAGGCCCAGGTGGCCCATGATGACCCAAAAGTACCCAATCTTTGGGCTTCTTTGCAGATCGAATTCACGCCTGAGCAGATTGAAGGTGAGCAGAGTCCTGAGCCCAGGGAGTGGTAGGGGTGGACCAGGGGTTCCCAATTCAAACCAGTGGGGTGGGGAGGGTGGCGGGTGCCCCCCAGAGAGAACCCAGAGCTCACTGCCCTTTCCCACAGAGTTCAAGGAAGCCTTCCTACTGTTCGACCGCACACCCAAGGGAGAGATGAAGATCACGTATGGGCAGTGTGGGGATGTCCTGCGGGCCCTGGGTCAGAATCCTACCCAGGCAGAGGTGCTCCGTGTCCTGGGGAAGCCCAAACAGGAAGGTAGTATACCCTGCCTGTTAGTGCCAGGCCCAGGGGAGACTGCCAGGGTGGGTGGCTATCCGGTATCATGGGAACCTCACTGACCTGCTTCCTGATTTTCTGCTGCTATTGGGATGAGGATATAAGGCTGGCTACCAGGTCATGGTGATAAGAGGCAAGCATGATGGGCATTCTGGACCTTTCCTGGCCATGGGGATGGACCCTTGTACTAATCAGAATCCATACTGGTGCAAGGGTCTGTCAGGGGACTTGGGTGCTTGTTTTTACCCGATTCTAGCCTCCTCAGCATCCCTTTGTGGGTCTTTGTCAACTTCCCTCACCTTGGCTGCTTGCTTTGACTCAAAGAGTGACACCTAGGCCCTCATCATAGGTCCAGGGAAGGCCTCTGATGGGCTCAACTGTGTCCACAGGGGGTGGGCAGGGTAAGGTCTATAAGAAATGAAACTGGGGTGTGGCAATATAGGCCAACAAACCCAACAATCAAGAGTTTGAGGTAGGTGAATCACCATGACTTGGAAACCAGTCTAGGCTACATAGTTCCAGGATAGCCTGGGTTACAGAGTGAGACCATATCTCAAAAAGGGGGAGGGGTGCTGGGGATGTTGTTCAGTTGGTAGAATACTTGCCTAGCTTACGTGAAGCCCTGGGTCTGATCTCTGGTACTACATAAACAGTGCCGGATGGTACATGTTCAAAGTCTAAAAAATAAAGATGTTGTAGTGCATACCTCTAATGCCAGCACTGGGGAGGTAAAGGCAAGGAAATGGCCATAAATTTGAGGCTAGCCTGGTCTACATGGTAAGTTTCAGAGTGGCCTGAGATATGTAGTAAGATCCTGGAGAGAGAGGGAGAGAGAGAGAGAGAGAGGAGTAGAGAACAGAGCCCACCTTGAACCCACTTGGGATGGCAAAGGTCTATGTAAACCATGTTTGCAGTAGATTGCCAAGTGCCTTGTGGTGGTGACACATTTTGTGCACAGCACATGCATCAGAGTGCTCAGGAACCGCTGGAGAGGGATGACCCCTCAGTGTTAGGCTCAGGGGAAGGCTGTACCTGTCCATCCTCCCACCTGAGACTTGGGACCCTCTGTCTGCAGACCTCAATTCCAAGATGATGGACTTCGAAACGTTCCTGCCCATGCTCCAGCACATCTCCAAGAACAAGGACACTGGCACGTACGAGGACTTCGTGGAGGGCCTGCGGGTCTTCGACAAGGAGGGCAACGGCACGGTGATGGGCGCAGAGCTCCGCCATGTGCTGGCTACGCTGGGTGAGGGCAGCCTCCTCCTCTACCGTCTCCTTCTCTGGGGAATCCTGGGGAAAACCCTTGCGTCACCTGCCCCTGGTCCTGTGTCTCATCCGTGACATTGAAACAGAATGATGGTCAAGGTGCTTCAACAGCAAGAGGTAGAAATACCGTCTAGGTGTGGCTGAAGGAAAGCTAGAAGAAACAGCAAGGGTGGGCACAGCTCTGGAGACAGGTCAGGAAGGTAGTTCGGGATTAGTAGTCCTGATGTTCATTGTTCTTTGTGGCCAAGGAGGTGACATACCTGTGACATCTGTGGGCTCTAGGTACCGCCCACTGTCTTCACCACCATCAGGTACCTGGTCACCTAACTCCTCAAAGTGACTTTTTCATGCAGAAAGCATTTATTGAACAACTGCTGTGTTCAACCCTATGCTGGTCTTAGGGTTTGCACATGCGTGTGTGTGTGTGTGTGTGTGTGTGTGTGTGTGTGTGTGTGTGTGTGTGTAGAGTGTGGGAGTCACCACAGTTGGTACTTTGCCAGTGAACAGCACAGGACAGTACAGTCAGAAAGTGCCAGACTTCAGCTAGGAATGTGGCTGCCTAGGATCCTGGGTTGGATCCTCAGCACTGGTGCGTGCATATACTCCCAGCACTTGGGAGATGGAGGCAGGGGAAGCGGATGGTCAAGATCACTCCTAGTTATAGCCAGTTTGAGGCTAGCTTGTGATAACTGAGATCCTTTCTCAAATAAATAAGAGAAAGAAAGAAAATTTTAAAAAAAGAAGAAGCAAATTTGGGGCTGGAGAGATGGCTTAGTGGTTAAGAGCACCGGCTGCTCTTCTAGAGGACCTGGTTTTGATTGCCAGCACCCACATGGCAGCTCACAACTGTCTGTAACTCCAGGGGAATCTCACACCTTGACACAGACATACATGCAAGCAAAATACCAATGCGCGTGCGCGCCCGCACACACACACACACACACACACACACACACACACACACACACACACACGAAAAGAAAAGAAAAATTTCAGACTGTCTATGGAGCAAGGAGAAGTCTCTGTCCCTTCCATGGACCCTTCTACCAGTCTCAAAGGGTTACCCCAAGAGACTGCTATCAGAGGCGGGGGACCCCTGCCAACCTGGCAGGGACAGAGCACAATATGTATGTGAAGATGCCTAGGCTCAGAGGGCCCAAGTCTCCATCTCAAGGTCAAGGCCACTCACTTCTTGACCTATGATTGGTTGTTCTGGGCTTGGAAACAGGGGTGATGGCTATCCATGACCTTGGGAGCGACGCTGGTGGCAAACCTACCATCCAGAGGGCTTCAATGGGCTCCCCCGTCAGTCACCCTCTGGGTGGTGTGACTTACCTCCATCCCTGCCAGGTGAGAGACTGACTGAAGATGAGGTGGAGAAATTGATGGCGGGTCAAGAAGACTCCAACGGCTGCATCAACTATGAAGGTGAGCTCAGCAGGATGGAGGTTTCCTGGGGAGAAGGCAGGGGGATGACCCAATTCAGCAGGTGGCAGTCTCCTGGGGAAGAGGTATAGGGACACAGTTCAGCTGGGGTAGAAAACTTCTGGGGAGCAGTCATGGGGACTCAGCAAAGCAGGGTCTTCTGGGGAGGGGCCATGTACCCAGCTCCACCCCTGGCTGCCCCCCAGGAGTCCCAGCCACTCCTTTCCCCTTTCCTTCCAGCATTCGTGAAGCACATCATGGCCAGCTGAGCCTCTCACAGGTGAGACGTCATTCTTTAACACTCACTGTCACTGTCCCCACCCCATCCCCGCCAAGGCCAGCTCTCGGTGGGTGTTCTGCTGTCTTGATACAGCCCTTCTTCCATAACCTGTAGTTGCCTTTCAGGAAGCCCAGGGCAGGCCAAGCTGGGGACATCTCGTCTCCCAACCGTGATGCCGACACCAGGTCCGGAGCTTCTGGAAGGAAGGGAGTGAGCCAGACTATGTGCCTTTTCTGGCTCCTGTTGGGATGTGCTTGCCACCTGTAATAGCCTTTCTGTCTCCATCCATGGCCTTATGAATAAATGATTTCCTTCCTTCCTCTCTCTCCCTCCATCCTTCCCCTTCTTTCTTTCCTTCCTCTCCATTGCTCTCTAGCTCACTTCCGCTCGTCCTAAGCTAGAGGTAGCCTCGCTGTCCTTCCTTCGCTCGTCCCTCATGCCTCCCTTTGGAGGCTGCAGTTGCGCTGGCCCACTCAACACGAGCATCCCACCAGGACCATGAGCACACTGTCTGAACAATGAACTAACTACAGGCCATCGGCCCTGAGCCATTGGGTCACTGAAGCCTGAGCTCAGGCCCAGTGCAGGAAGTGGCCTGGCTGAGTGGCAGGAGGAATGCAGGGCAGGGCAAGAGCTGACTTTGTCCCCAGGCTGTGAGATTTGAAGGACCATCAGCCACAGACTTGACTCTGATGGAGAAACCGAAGTGTTCTGCCCTAGGAAGAAGGCAAGGGCCTTGCTGGGGTGACACGTGATCGCCAGTGGTTCCTTTGGCCCCAGTTTCTCAGTGGAAGTCATGGCTGTGGGGCTCCATGGGCACAACAAGAGGAGGTGGCCCTCATATGTTTGGTCAGGAGGAAAAACAATGCCCAATGGAGAGGAAGGCCCGGAGGCTGGGAATGGAGTCTGGGAGTGGAGGCTGGGAATGGAGGCTGGGGATGGAGGCTGGGAGTGGAGGCTGGGAATGGAGGGGTCAGAGGGAAATTGGACTATACAGGGTAGGAAAGCCCACAGGACCAGAGGTATGCAGGAGCTCAGCACAGCCTCATCAGGGCTCATTTCCATGGCCTGTTGTGTGTCTGAATACAGAGTCCAGATAGTGTGTTCTAGAGCAAGCTCTAAGGCCGTGCGAGCCAGGCCGCCTGGGGGTATTGGTGTGGCAGCAGTGGAGTCTGAGTGTATAAGGATTGTGAGGGTATGTAGATATGTGTAAAAGGGTGTTTGTGTATGTGAGAGGGTGTCACTGTGTCACAGAAGTCTGTTGCTGCTTCTGATTTTAACCCTTCAGTGTGTTAAACTAGTTAACTTTTCACTGAGCACTTGCTGTGTGTCAGGCTCTGTTCCAGGCACTAGGGACATAGTGCTAGGGAGAGCAGTACAGGGCTCTGTGTGTGGAGCCCACGCAAAGCAGACAGATGCCAGACTGGCTGGAGATCAAATAACAAGGAGGCTGAGGGTGCACTGAGAGCAGGGAAGGAGCTGGAAGTGTGTGTGCACGTGTGTGCGTGAACAAACTTGGCGCCATAGTGACTGAAGTGGGTGGCAAGGGGCAGGAGGGACGGAGCCGGGAGCTGGGTGGCTTGTAAATAATGAGGTCAGACATTGTATGAGAGGACAAGAGTGTGACAAAGATTGGAAGGCCAGGAGCTAATACTCAGAGTGTGGAAAGAATTCATATAAATCACCCCTTTGGAAACAATCTGATTAAAAACTGGGCAAAGGACCTGAGCAAACGACTCTAAAGAGGATGGACACAAGCAGGCATGGTGGTACATGGCTTTATCCCGGCATCCGGGAGAAAGAGATCGGTGGATCTCTGCGAGTTTGAGGCCAGCCAGGCCCACATAGTAAGACTCTCTCTTGGAGAAAAAAGAAAAGATGGACATGGGGCTGGGCATAGAGCTCAGAGATAGAGTGCTTCTATAAGGCCCACGGTTCAATCTCTAGTACTAAAATAAAATTAAAATAAAATTTAAAAAAGATCTGCTTTGGGGCTGGTGAGATGGCTCAGTAGCTAAAGATGTCCTGATGACCTGAGTTTGAGCCCTGGGACCCACATGGTGGGAGGAGAGAAGTGACTCCTGAAAGTTGTCCTCTGACCTCCACACATGTGCTGTGGTGTATATGTACCACCCTCTGGCACAAACAAATGTGATTAAAAAAATTAAAGCTAGCCGGGCGGTGGTGGCGCACGCCTTTAATCCCAGCACTCGGGAGGCAGAGCCAGGCGGATCTCTGTGAGTTCAAGGCCAGCCTGGGCTACCAAGTGAGTTCCAGGAAAGGCACAAAGCTACACAGAGAAACCCTGTCTCGAAAAACCAAAAAAAAAAAAAAAAAAAAAAAAAATTAAAGCTATTCAAATAGCCAGTCGACCAGCAAAAGGGCGCAGAGGATGGAACTTTTCACCCTAACCCACCCATGCTTGGCATCTGTTAGACAATGGAATAGCATACACATGAAAAAAGATTTATTTATTTTTATCTTAGGTGTATGAGTGTTTCGTCTGTATGTACATATGTGCACTGTGTGTATGCCTGGTAGCTATGGAGACCAAAAGAGGGAAGGCATCAGATCCCCTGCAGCTGGAGTTACAGGTGGCTGTGAACCATCAAGTAGGTGCTGGGAGTTGAAACTCATCTTATGCAGGAGCAGTAAGCACCCTTCACCTCCCTCCAACCCCATTATTCACATTTATTTATTTGTTTGTTTGTGTTAGAGGATACCACTCATCGTTAGAGTAAGGCAATTCAAAGCTGTAATTCCAGCATTTGGAAGGTTGAGGCCGGAGGATTGCTGTGGAGTTTGAGGCCAGCCTGGGTTACATAGTGGAGTCATCTTAAAAACAAGAACAAAACAAAAACAACTCAAAACCAGATCAAACAGAGCAAACAAATGAATAAGGGACTGCACCAGGCATCCTCTGCAACAGAAAGCAGTGTGTTAGTGAGGGTGCTGAGAAATGAGAACCTTGTGTGTTAGTGGGAGGGTGAATGATGCAGCCATTATGGCAAACAAAATAGCGTTCTTCAATGTGCCTGAAGGTCACACACACACACACACACACACACACACACACACACACACACACACACCAGGGTTATCATATGACACAATTCCAATTCTGAGTATATATTCTCTCAAATTAAGGACAGGATCTCAAATATATAATTTACATCCACTTTTTGGGCAGCATTGCTCACAAGTAGCCCAAGCTGGAAACAACTCAGATGTGGACTGATGACAACAAAATGCAGTGTAAACATACAAAGGAATAGCTCAGTACTGAGGATCAAACCCAGGGCCACACATTTGCTAGGCAAGCACCGTTCAACAGAATCACCCAGTCTTTTCTTTCTTTCTTTAAAACTGGAGTTACAGACAGTTGTGAGCTGTTGTGAGGGTGCTGGGAATTGAACCTGGATCTTCTGGAAGAGCAGCCAGTGCTCTAAACCACTGAGTCATCTCTCCAGCCCATTCTTTCTTTCTTTTTTTTTTTTTTTTTTCAGAGCTGAGGACCGAACTCAGGCAAGTGCTCTACCACTGAGCTAAATCCCCAACCCCTCTTCCTTTTTTATTTGTTTTTGTTTTTGTTTTTGTTTTTCGAGACAGGGTTTCTCTGTGTAGCTTTGCGCCTTTCCTGGAACTCACTTGGTAGCCCAGGCTGGCCTCGAACTCACAGAGATCCGCCTGGCTCTGCCTCCCGAGTGCTGGGATTAAAGGCGTGCGCCACCACCGCCCGGCTCCTCTTCCTTTTTTAAATCAAGACTTATTAGGTAGTCCTGGCTGTCCTCAAACTTGTGGTAATCCTCCTGTCTCTGCCTCCTCAGTACGGGGATTACAGGTGTGTGCCATCATACCTGACTTAGCTGGTCTTACAAGGAAGAGAATTCTGGCACATGGATGGATGATCCTGCACAGGATTGGGTTGGGTGGTCTTGGCATTTTCCTGTTGGTGGGGTCCACCTTGGGGAGGAGTCCCGAGCAGGAAATGCACTGCTTTTAATCAACCGGAGGCAAGAAGTGGCCCTGTTGCCAGGTTCCATGTCAGTCAGGGAGCTACATGTGTCCTACTCCAAGAATGCCTGTCCCTCATCTGGTACCTCTAGATTTCCTAGATCTCCCCCGACACCTGCCCCCCCCCCCGCCCCGTCTCCATGAGTGCTCACCTTGACTTGGTGGTGGGAGGGAGGAGGGAGCATCCCACGTGTTTCTCCATTACACAGCTGCCCCACCCCACTGGACTTCTGGTGTAGATAGGTCAGGCAGGGCACCCTAGGGCAGTTGGAGGGAGGTCCTGGGGAAGTGGAGTCTGGTTTGGGGAGTGTATTCGTTACTGCTCTTCTTAATGCTGTGACAGAATGCGTGACAAATGTAACTTAAAGAAGGGAGAGGTTGTTTCGGCTCACAGTTTGAGGGGACAGTCCACCATGGTGGGGACGGTGTGGCATCATGGTCATGAGGTGGCTAGTCACATGTGTCACAGTCAGGAAACAGAGAGTTGAATGCCTGTGCTCTGCTCTCTTTCTCCTTTGTATTCAGTGTAGGACCCCAGCCCAGGGGAGGTGACACCCAGCTGCTGAGGTCACCCTTCACCTTGCTCAGCATCATCCAGTGCAGCCAGTTGTGGAGGCAGTGTGTGCATTTTGGTATGTTCGTGTGTGTGTGTGTGTGTGTGTGTGTGTGTGTGTGTGTGTGTGTGTGCATGTACGTGTGCTTCTATGCTCACAAGTGTGCATGTCAGTGAGTGTATTCTTATACATTTGTATGTGTGAATGTCTGAGAACGTGTGTGCTTGTTTATCTGTGCATATGTACATGTGTGCTTGCCTGCGTGTGACTGTGCTTGCCTGTGTTTGTGGGTGGACGTGCTGGGGGGCTCTGCTGAGTCAGCCCTGGTGCTGGGCAGGCTGCATTACCAGCCAGGCTGCGGCCTCCCCACAGTTGCATAAACACTGGTCCCAGCTCCCCCCTCGAGCAGGGTGGTCCAGTGTGGCCCTGTTGCTGGTAGGAAGGGATATAAAGGGGAGAAGGGTTTGTCCTCCCATCAGCCTGGCTCCCTCCAGGCCTCGTGTCAGGTCACATACACCACAAGGCAGGGGTCTGCTCTGGGCTTTCCCTGCCTTATGCCCCTCATCTGGCCTGAGCTGGGACTCTGAGTCCTTAGGTGGCATAAGAGCTGCCTCTCCAGTTCTGATTCAGGCTGAACCAGAGGGTTGGCCGAGGGCAGGGTTCAGCATCAGGACTCCAGACAGGGCCAGATGGTCCCCATGAAGCTGTGGAACTTCACTCAGAAGGTCCAGTGACAGCGAAAAGCCAAGA